GATGGCCTCATTACTTTAGACAAAAGTGGGCTTGGAGGAAAAACTGGGGTGATGTTTTTTTTTTTTTGCTCAGCCATGTTTTTCCTTTTGAAATACTTAAGGCAAAAGAGCAGCGAGGTTTCTTTTTCCCCCTCCCCATTGGTGGCTGAGGGAGGTTGGGGTGTATTCATAGCACAATTCCCCATCCATCCACATGAACACACACAACAGCAGCCTTAGCACAGGGAAATGGAAATTAAGCAAATACAAATGGCATTAATGAAACAGATATTAATGAACACGAATCACTGATGAAATTCAAGTCTTACAAATGAAAATAAAATAATAAAAATAATATATATTTTAACTATTTCACTAGGGCACGGAGTTTGAAAACCAGTATATTCCCCTCTCTTGTGTAAGACATCACACACTTGGGGTTTGTCTTCTGCAAGTCTTCGTTCTGTAAATTTCAGTACCTGAAGTGTAGCAAAAAAATTAGCCCACCACCCCTTTTTTTTTTTTTCCTTTGAAACAGCTTAGCTAAATATCTCTACAAATTGTAACACTAATACTTAGGATTAATCTATTTGGCCTTAAAGAAATTTCGAGAATTATGCCTGAAACTGTTTTGCATTTCAGGAATAAACATCCACTCAAATTTTACTATTGCTAAATGCAGCAAAGAATATTTTAAAAATATAACTTGATCCTTTTAAAACTTTATGTATTTATAAATACCTCAAATTCTTATTTCTATTTGTAACAGATAAAACAATTAACGTGAATTTTGACTATGAAAAGCTTAAAGTTCATAGTGAAAAAACCATACTTGGAAGCATCTAAATGAATGGCAAAAGTGTCTCTAATATATTCTTTGTTTTGATAATTGTTTCCAATTTCTCTTATGTACATACACCTTATTGTAAAATGCTTGATATTAAGCTATTTTTCAACAAAACCCCCACAAACATATTTCTAATCTGATAGCAAAATATTTTGTTATATATCCATTAGGTATTTTTTTTATTCCAGGTGGGAGAACAAGTGCCTGAGAAGCATTCATGGAATGACTGATTTAAACGTTATAAATCCCTGAATTTTTCATCTCCCTTTGAACGGAATGCCAAAGGGGATTAAAGACTAAAGACATATCACAAACAAATTTACATTATTAAAATTACTGTAATCAAGAGTCTTTTCTAGCCTTAATCGGGATTAGCGAAAACAAAAAAACCCCAACTTTTCTATTGTGCAACACTAATCAAAATTCTATCAAATGACAGATAACAGAGTAAAAGCCGTTCCGAAAATTAAAAATATTGGGGGGTGTCTGCTAGAATTCTTTGAAAGTATTTTCACCTATTTGAGAGTAGAACAGTGATTCTTTTCTCTGCTGGCGATTCACACGGCAGGAGACAAGCACAGGCTAAAAAATAAATTTCAATGATGCTGCAAAGTCCCACCTCTTATTTTCGGGAGGAAACGTGCTTGTTTGAACACAGGCAATAGGAGGAGGAGGGAAAAGGGGAAACGCTTGGTTTTGTTCCCCTAAATTGTAAGCTAAATAATGCGAGTTGTGGCAAACTCAAGCCTGCAGGACACGCCGTGACTCCGGCTGCTGAGCTGACAATAAGCAGGTTTGGCCCCAAAAACCGTGACAGCTTTTAAGCGAGGTCTTTATCCAGCGTGCCCTACGCTCTGCAGCTCTGCTACACGGCTAATACAGGAAAGGGATAAAGCTCCCACAGAGGTTTCTGGTCCTCCAGAGCCTCGGAAAAAAAGGCAGCATCCTGTCGGGTTGGGGACCCACCGCTGTGCTCTGGAGCATCAGGCTCCGTCCTGCTGTCACTGGTGTTGCCAGAAATGCTGCCAATTAGTAGTGAAACGGCAGCAAGATTGGACCCTGTGTTCCTTTCACCCTTGTAAAACGCCAGCTACTATTTTAGAATTAAAATTATAGATATGTATATGTAAAGAACAATGCCGAAAAATTATCTCAGAGCAATGAGCAAGCACTTCCCAAAGTCTCGGAAACGAGCAATATTCAGATATTGTGACAGAACGTCAGAAAATCAGTTATAGGGATTAAAGAGCAAGGAAAACAGTGTGATTCTCGTGGCTTCTTTCCAGGAACTTCAAGTGATTTAACTTTCTGCAGGTACCTGGAGCAGACAGCCGCCTCCTGGGCCCTCCATCTTCAAACCTGTTGCTCCCCTGTATTTGGTTACACAAGATTTTCCCTCCCAAGCTCAGGACCGTTAACGTTAAACCTTGACCGAGGCAGTGCAAACTGACAGCAGTTTCCAACTCGCTATTAGGAAGGTTATAAAGGTTAGTAAAGCGTTAGTTTTGGTCAGCGACTAGAATTACACAGCTTAAAAAAAAAGCAACAGACAGTGGAGCAGCATCTCCTCTTCGAGTCTCTTCCTAATGAAGCCTCACTCTGATCACTCTTGAAGTTTATTAGTTTTGGTCAGCGACTAGAATTACACAGTTAAAAAAAAGCAACAGAGAGTGGAGCAGCATCTCCTATTTGTGTCTCTTCCTAATGACGCCTCACTCTGATCACTCTTGAAGTTTGAAGAAAAACTAAATGAAGTTAGAAAACAATATATTATCTTTTTAATGAAAAGTCGGCATTATGTTTTCTTCAAAGTATGAACATACCAGGATCACGAGTACATTAGAACATGAGCTGTATTTCAGTTCCATCTGAGCATACACCATAAACCCTCTGTGGAAAAAAATAGCAAGCATCACAACATTTGAGCAGAAAAAAAAATTATCTTTTACCATTTTGAAGTCCTCCCTTCATATTCTCTGAAACACCAACTGGAAGCAGACACTTAAAATCTTACAAAATAAGTAGGTTTGATCTCTTTTTTTTTTTTTTCAGATGCCAGAGAAGGGGACAAAGAAATGAGAAGTTAGGGGATCTCAGCCCCGGGATAACCCCGCAGATTTGCAGGGTTAGCACCGTGCTGCACACAGACACGCGTGATCATCAGGCGCCACTTTATCCCCTCCCAACAAAACCATCTCTCCAGCAGCATTAGGCAGTCGCTCGGCAGCGGTTTTAGCAGCGGCTCAGCACAAAGCGTAAATCACAGGGAAAGAGATGCCTTCCTGTGGGTGGGAGAGGCAGAGGGCTCTGCACGGGAAGAGTTAACATCCTACAAATCCATAGCAGCCTGAAGCAACCCACAGGACTGAATTTTCAGGTTAACCGAGAAGTTAGTCAACTTCGTTTTAGTTTAATATGAATATGTTTGTTTCAGGAAAAGTTATGATTGGAGTTCCTTCCACTTTAAAATTAAAAAACCCATGCTTTAAGGTCAATGTTAATGATTTACAAATTCCTCTAGTACTGCTTTGATAAGTTCTACATTTCTGTTTTCAATACCTAGACTTTTAACAGTACTTAAATACTCACACTTGCTAGTTATTCTATCAAAATTTTCTTTAATGCAGGTCTTATCTTCTGTATTTGAAATTCCACATCTAGCCTCCCGAGATCATTTAATTCAGAGTGGGCTCTCAAAGAACCTTCTGAATATTTCAAGGGCTCTCAGAAGGTGGATTTTTAGGATTCCAGGTAGATATGGTAATATGAGCATGCTTTTTACTCATGTAAGTTATCAGAAAAGAATTAAACAATCACTGTACTAAACCCCATTGTTCCAAAAATAGCTTTTCTCTAAGACTATGAAGACTTTTTTATGCTCTGAAATTAATAAGCCACATTTTTTGCTGTAATTATTTGAGAAAGAAGAAATTATAAATTCCATGATTATTAGCGTAAGTCTTTAGCCAAACACACATTTAATATTAAGCTGTTAAATACTTTATTCTCCAGCTATTTCAGTTTGGGTGAAAAATGAACAGTTAAACTAAATTCTGTTTAAGTACCCCCAACTGCTCAATCTCATACAATTTTAAGCAGAATTAATAAACGTTTACCTAAAAATCATGATTCTCCACTGAACTGATGCCTTTTCCAAAATATTTTCTAGCAACAACTCAGTCTGCAAAAATTTTAAATGACCTTTGCTGATTTGCAGTTTCCAGTCATTTTTGCTTCAGTAGTGCTTTTGGTCGGCTTTCGCTTCATCAGATGCCTTTTAAGAGTATTTTCAAGATTTTCTGTTACGGAAAAAGGTACAACAGATAAACTGTTCTGTAAAACTATTCTGTAAAAAAAAAAAAGACATGAAGATATAAAAATGGAAATGAGCAGGAACCAGTTTTAAACATATGTCTTTATGAACGAGGCTCACTCACACACTTCCTTTTCCTAACATGAAAAAAAGTCTTGGAAATCTATTAATTAAAATTAAGTGCCACGGACAAGCGGCTTTAGAGGGACGGCAGCCCTTTTCAAATTAGCATAACACTGGCGACAGGCATGGAAATTGGTTTAATAACCCTAAATAGTTACACCCCACTCCTAACACAAATGGCCACGGACAGCTCTAGCCCCTCGGGCTGCGACTGTACCAGTTTGTGCAGCTGCTCTGACATTGGGGAGGGGGGGGGAAATATTCCAATCCCAACAGAAATCACTGAACGCACCTCAATTATTATCATGATTATTATTATATAATGACTAGCCAAGCATACAAGGCACCAAAGCGTTAAAAACATCATAAACCAGCAAAACAAAGTGAACCAACACGGGCAACATCGAAAACTCAGCCAGCGAGGGACTCGCTGTGCAACTCGCACCAACACAGCCGAAACTGGGCAAGAGATTGTGAGTTTAGTCATGATTATTAAACAGCCCAAACCCCACACTTAGGTCTAGGGTCAAGCAGTCGATACAACAGAAAACCAAGCCAAAGGGATAAGCAGAGTCTTCAAGCCATTTCCTTCCCTGCCATGTTTTACACGGGGGTCCTCGGAGCTAAGCTCAACGCTGCAAAAACCCCCTTTAAAGGCCACTTTCGGGGCACAGCATCCCCCAGCAAGTCTCAAAACACACACGCTACATCTCTACCTGCTTAACTCTAAATGTCAAGCATAAACAATATTTTCTTTTTTTTTTTTTTGGGTGTGTGCTGACGATTTATGAGAGCCTGGAGAAATAACCAAACCCCTGCTGATCCTGAGCTGAACGTCCACAAGCTTTTTTTTTTTTTCCAAGTATTCCAATCATTCCCCTAACTTCACACCGCTGCTCTTCTGCCAAGGACTGCCGCCTCTGGCCCCGCTTTACCTGACTTCAGTGGGGGTTTGCTTTGACTGCCAGCTGGTGTTAGAGACATGCAGGACAGAGAAAGCGGTTATTCACGTCTTTTATTTATTATAAATACATATAAATATGTTAAGTGACCTTTTGGCTTTATCGTGATGAGCAACGAGTTTGGAAAAATCATCTGGGAAACTTAACCAAGCTGAGAAACAGGCAAAAAAGCAAGCATTAGCATACAATCACAGGTTCCTCTCACTTCAAGAATGGGTTAATTTTTTTTTAAGCGCAAAAAAAAAGGAAAAAATTTAAAAAAGCATCTTATTTTGAAGCATCTATTGTTTTATCAAGAGCACCAAACTTCCCCCCTCCCGGGAGCTGACCGAATGACATTTTCATTTGGATTTGTGGTCCAACCCCTACTTGGCTACACAGGACACCCCCCCGTGATTGAGACGTTGCATAGTTTTGTAGCTGGATTTTGCTTCTCCCTCCCCCCCTCTTTTTAAGCTATTTTTAACATAGATTGACCATGCCAAAGAAAACTCACTGAGGTTTCCCCTTTCCAGATCTTCTCTCCCTCCCTGTTCGTCCTATAGCTTAAGTTTAAGAACTGCACAGAAACTTTGTAGATCAGAGCAAGCAGAAAAGCAGCGTGATGCTCACGGTCCACTAACAGGCTGGGAAGGAAATAACTCTACAGATGAAGTTGGGGGGTGGAGGTGGGGGGGGGAGGTAACTAAACAAAGTTGAAAGTGGGTGGTTTTGGGGGTTCATCTCAAACTGCCAAACATTTCCAAATGGGGTACGGGGAGGGGGTGGGTATTTAAGAGAAGCAAACAAAAAAGAAAAACCCAGACTTAACTGATGGTAGGAAGCCAGGGCTGATGGCAGTGGAAAGAAAAGTGCGCAGAAAAGAAAAAAAAATAAAAATTAAATGAAACCCCAAAAAAAGCCCGAAGCAGCCCCAAATCAGGGCTTGTCATTACAGTGTTTGCAGAGGGCGGAGGCGGCTCCTGTGAAGGCAGTGCATTTCTCGGGGCAGCCGGGCAAGGCCGTGCCGCCGAAGGGGTAGACGGGCGACTGTCCGAAGGGGTTGAGGGTGGCGGGCAGCGGGGCGCTCAGCGCCTGGCCCTGGTTCAGGTAGGCCACCAGCCGCCGCATCTCCTCCAGCGCCTGGGCCTGCATGAGGATGTAGTTCTTGGCCAGGAGCAAGGTGGCGATTTTGGAGAGTTTCCGCACCGAAGGGCTGTGGGCGTAAGGGATGACGGACCGCAGCCCGTCCAGGGCGTCGTTCAGGTCGTGCATCCGCCGCCGCTCCCGCGCGTTGATGCTGAGGCGCAGCGAGCGCTGCTCCTTGGGCTTCTTCCCCACGGCCGCCCCCTTCAGCTTGCCCTCCCGCTCGAAGGCCGCGCCGCCCTTCACCCCGGCCTCGAAGCCCTCCTCTTCCTCGCCGCTCTGCTCGCCGCTGCTCTCCGCCGACTTGCCCAGCGCCCCGGGATGGAAGTCCGCCCCGCCGCCCCCCGGGTAAGTCCCCCGCGGGTCCTCGCCGCCGCCTCCTCCTCCGCCGCGCACCGCCCCGTAGGCGAAAGCCGAGGGGCCGTAGCCCGGGGCCAGCGCCAGGTACGCCTCGCCGCCCAGCGACTTCAGCTCGGCCATCGCCTCCCGCGCTCCGCCGCCGCTGAGGACAAGGAGGATGATGAGGCGGAGGAGAAGGAGGAGGCGGCCCCGCCGCTCCGCTCCGCGCCGGGGGCGGGCAGTGAGGCGGGAGCCGGCCCCGCCGTCCCTTATATCGCGGAGAGGGGCCCGCCGGGACGCGCTCGCCGCCCAATCGCGGCGGCCGCGGCGGGCAGCCCTGAGGCGGCGGGCGGGAAGGGGACGGGGACGGGTGGGCCCTTCGCGCGGTCACCGGTCTCTCCCTCCGTAACCGTCGTGACCGGCCCCTTCCCTTCGTGACTGGTCTCCCACTTCGTGACCGGCCCCTTCCCTTCATGACCGGCCACTTCGCTTGGTGACCAGTCCCTTCCCTTGGTGACTGGCCTCCCCCTTCGTGACCGATCTCCCCCTTCATGACTGGCCCCTTCCCTTCATGACCGGCCCTTTCGCTTGGTGACCAGTTCCTTCCCTTCATGACCTGTCTCCCTCTTCGTGACCAACCTCTTCACTTGGTGATCGATCTCCTCCTTCACGACTGGCCCCTTCCCTTCATGACTGGCCCCTTCCCTTCATGACCGATCTCCCCTCTTCGTGACCGGCCCCTTCCCTTCATGGCCAACCCCTGCCCTGCGTGTCGGGCCTCCTGCCCTCCTTGCTCCGCCATTTCGGGGAGAGGAGGTGCCAGGGCGCGATGGGCACCCCTCAGCAGGCACTTGGGGACAAAAGCAGATGACACCGGAGGAGCAGGCAGGAGAAAACAGCTCCGAACAGTGAGTGGGAATGGACATGAATCCTAATCGCCTTTCTGGAACTTGTGTCTGCTGCTGGGATGAGGCAGAGGAGGAGAAACTGCTGACGTGAACAGTGCAGCACCAAGGGTGTTATCTCCACTTTGCTGGAGCTGCTCCCGGCTGCTGGAAGGGCAGGGAGAGCATCATGAATTCCTACTTCTGTCTAAAAGCTTTGGAAAAGTGAGAGCAGGTTCAGCTGTGAGAAGGTGACAGTGCTGAGCTCCAGCCCGGAGAACTGGCTCATTTCCCTTTCTAAAATTAATGGGAAGCGGCAATGATTGGGCTGATGCTTCAGCCTGCTTCTCCATGTAGCCCTTGTTAGCCCCAAAGCAAATAGAGAATTGATTAAGGAACCAGAATATTTTCTTGAGACTTTTCTAGTGCCATTCTCGGGAAAAACTGGAGAGGTCAACACTCTCCACTGGTCCAAACGTGGGACCACTCCTGGTACATGTTGCAATGAGAGGCAAAGGTCTTGCCAGCTGTGGGCATGGCTTGCTGATTTGGGTTGTTTTGATTTAGGTGGGGATGACAGAGGTGGCACCAGTTGTGCAGAGAGATTTCTGAAGCAGAGGCCCTGTCTATTTTCATTTTCTTCAGAGACTCACTTTGCTACTCCTTTCCACCTGGCAGAAAAATGAATTTGATCCTTGGTGAGTCAGTCCAGCTCTGAAGGGACTCTCTCCTTCCCAGTTGTGGGTACTGGTAATTGAGTGCTAAGCTTGGAAAGGAAGCAAACTGTTCCCCATCGTGGCCTGCAGTGGGTGAGAAATCATCCCTGTGGGAATCCTTGCCACGAGTGGTGGAGTGTCTGGCCCACAGAGAAATCTCACGGAGAATCCAAGGCAGCCCCTGGCAAAGATGAGAGCTGTGTAAGAGAAGGATAATCAGAGTGCTTTGTCCTGTATCCCTGCATTGAGATGATAGAGAGGGCTTAATCTTTAATTGCAACAGAAAGAGGTCCCAGAAAGAGGCTCATTTTTTCTTCTAGGCTTCTGAAACTGCTTCATGGTACTGAGTTGTGGTACACGGATAGTATAAGGGCACACTAGGCCGTCTCTAAGCATGACATGTGCCTGGTCCAGACCCCTCAAGTGGCTGCTTAGAAAGGATGGGATGAATCCTGTGTGGTGACATACAGATGCGAGCAGGTGGATGTTGCCCACAGGCAGATGCCACCAGTTGATGCAGACGTACCTGGTAGGTTGTTTGCTGCAGTAAATAGCTCGGGTGTTAAGGTGACACGAGGCTTTCTCCAGAATGTGTTTTGTTTTTATCAGGCCCTCCACAAAGCGTAGTTAGCTTGTCCTCCTCCCATCACCTCCCTTTGTGCAGTGTGCTAACGTGAAATGACGAGCTTGTCTCTCTCCCTTCTCCCTGCCAGAGCCGAGAGCACCCAGATCTGCGGTGACACATGCATCCTCGCCCGTGGATGGAGAGCTGCTGCCTGCAGTGAGGCTCTTCCCCTCCCACTGTAAGTCTGGCAGGTTGTGTTTCTGCCTCTCAGAGGAGTGGAGCACAGAAAACCAGCTGCTGTCCAAGCCTGGCAGAGCGTGCACAAGGTCTGGCCATCGTACTTTTCACTGATCTTCTCTTACCTCACCTCCAGTGTCTGAACGTATTGTCACATCTCTTTCTTGCTACCTTGATCAGGCTTATCAGACCATGAAGACCGATTACTGGTTTTAGTCACTTAATTGTTTTATGAGAATTGGGCCATGTAACTGCTGTATATATATAACTTTCAAATACAGGTGAGCACTCATCTCTGGAATCAGTCCCACACTCCAAGTGATAATAAACAAAAGGAGTGAGGTACTGGGATATTATCACTGGCATAAATCATTCCCATGAAAAAGGTGATTGGGGATTGTTAAAAGCAGGATTGTCCCCTGCTGGAAATGATTTACCTTTTTTGGGTTGTGTTGAGATCTTGCAATGAGAAGGACTAGTGGTGTTATAATGTTTCAGGAATTCTGGTTGTAAAGACACGTTGCAAATATTGCTGGCTTTCTGAGTATGTCATATGCATCTGACACGGCGAATGCCAGGCGAGGCAACGGGCTGAAAATCAGAAGTAAACACTTTTCACACAGGCTTTCTAGTGCTTGAATAAATGAGTGAGTTCTTCAAAGCTTATTTCCACACTGAAGGGTGGCTTGGGAGGTGTATCAACTACAAGAGAACAGAGCAGAAGGTTTCACTGCTTTATAAGTAATTCCAAAACACATAGCTGAGAGAAGTCATTTGGAGCCTGTATGAATTTGAAATCAAATCAGGTTTAATGTGCTACCAAAAAATGCACACAGAGGAATTTGTTTTGGACTTCTCCCTAAAATTTCAGCTGTGAATATGCATCTTTGAAAATATTCAACCTGGTTTCTCACCAAAAACTGAGAAAGGGGAACATCTGATTTGGATTTTGTCATGTTGGACTAGAACAACAAAAAAGGAAGACAAAAAAAAATAGCAGAAGGGAATGACTCATCTGGAAGAATATGGCTGAAAATAAAACCTCTTCCAAGTGCTTTGGGGAAAAGTGGACATATGCAATAGGAAATGAAAGTATCAGAAGCTGTAGAGTATTTGTCAGCTTTAAAGTAGGATTTTTTTCTTCTGCTGTTTTAAGTATTAAAACTAGGTGTGAATATTTAATAACTAATAGAAGACTATTCTCACTGCAATTATAATAGTTATTGTAACTGTAAGTTCCTCCGGGCAGGACCCATACCTCTATTAAAACTCTTTCAAGTCACTAACATTTTATAAATAACAGGCACCATCAATGATTTGATTACTGGATTCTCTGTGTCTGCCTCCCTGAATTCAAGGGGTTTCTGTTAACTTGACCAGGCAAAGCTGCCTACAAAGAGAAATTCTGGCTGCTTAACTGGATGTGGGGACTGGACCAGGGCTGCACCCACCTTCGTTTGCTGGGACTCTGGCTCCCAGCTGGAGTTGGAGTTGGAGTTGGAGTTGGAGACTCTGCTCATCCTTCAGGGGAGAAAAAAAAGTGAATTTGGAGGTTGTAGCACCTGCTACTACTGGAAGAGCTTGAATATGGTTTATTTCAGTTCTAATGCAAAGAGGGAAAGAAAAGGGTCGAGATAAACATGTATTTTCTTCAATTTCAGTCAATTTCTTAATGCCATGCACCTGAGCAAAACAGTGGGTCTTACAATGTCAGTGCCTGCCGTCTGCATGTCTAGAGGACTGGGATGAGATAGGACTAAGCAAGGAAGCACAAACCAGAGCTACTTGTTACCTCTCATGTGCAGATTAAAGACCTCGGGATTTGAGGTGGACCGAACATCGAAATGTATAAGAAGACCAGCTGCAAAGACTGCCACATGCATTTAAACACTTTCTTTGTTTTGCTGGGTGACAGGGGACCAACTTACGAATGGATTTGGTTTTGTCCATCAGAAAAGAGGAGGGGGCAACCATGAGAAATGTGTCTCCAACCCTATCGGCCCGATTTGGATATTAAAAGTAGAAGAAACAAGGAGCGGTGGGCGCTGTGACAGTCCCATGCTGACATCTAGCGACCACCTCCTTCAGAGCCCGGCGGGCACCCACCTCCCCTCCTCGGCTTCCAGGCACGGGGAGGCAAAACGCAACAAAAAAAATAATCAGAATTAACCCGAAAGACTAAGAGGGACAATAAGACCCGCGGGCGCTTTGGGGTCTTGGATCAGAACCCCCCAGCCTGTGTTTTGGATACCTGCCCCATAAATGCAACCCTGTCCCTGCCTGTCACTGCAGAAAGCCCAGCAGTCTTTGGACTTTTTATTCAGAAACTTGGACACTGGAAAGCAAAGAGGTGTTCAAGCATCAAAACGTGTGAATGGATCATCTGCTGCTGAGTACAAATGATGGTGGGACGAATGGAGTTGTTCCACCCGGAAAGCTCAACTGGAACTGCTGGAAATAGGGGGTGAACTTCTTCCCTCGGGTGTGGGAGCAAGAGCAATTAGGTTGAAACGGCACAAACTGTGGCAGTGCTGTGCTGGTTCCAGCTCTCTGGAAATGGTGGGCAGGGAGAGGACAGAAACTCAAGGCTGGGAAAAGCTGGCAGAGCTCGGTCTGACAGGCGTCTGGCCAGACAGAATCACAGCATGGTTAGAGTTGGAAGGGACCTTAAAGATCACATAGTTCCAACCCCGTGCCCTGGGCAGGGACACCTCCCACCAGACCAGGTTGCTCAAAGCC